GGCTAATTTTTGTATTTTTAGTAGAGACAGGGTTTCATTATGTTGGTCAGCTGACCCCAATCTCCTGAACTCATGATCCACCCACATCAGCCTCCCAAAGTGCTGGGATTACAGGCGTGAGCCACTGCACCCAGCCTGTAAAGGATTTTATTTCTCCTTTGCTCATGAAGCTTAGTGTGGCTGGATATGAAATTCTGGGTTTAAAATTATTTTCTTTAAGGATATAGAATATTGGCCCCCACTCTCTTTGGGCTTGTAGGGTTTCTACCAAGAGGTCCACTGTGAGTCTGATAGGCTTCCCTTTGTGGGTAACCTGACCTTTCTCTCTGGCTGCCCTTAGCATCTTTTCCTTCATTGCAACCCTGGTGAATCTGACAATTATGTGTCTTGGGGTTGCTCTTCTTGAGGAATATCTTTGTGGTCTCTGTACTTTCTGAATTTGAACGTTGGCCTACCTTGCTACATTGGGGAAGTTCTCCTGGATAATATCCTGAAGAGTGTTTTCTAATTTGGTTTCATTCTGTCATTTTCAGGATCAAATGTAGATTTTTTTCTTTTCATGCAATTCCGTATTTCTTGGAGGCTTTGTTCATTTCTTTTCACTATTTTTTCTCTTATCTTCTCACTTTATTTCATTGAGTGGATCTTCAATCTCTGACATCTTTTCTTCTGCTTGATCGATTCAGCTACTGAAACTTGTGCATGCTTCAAGAAGTTCTTGTGCTGTGTTTTTCAGCTCCATGAGGTCATTTATGTTCTTCTCTGAACTGATTATTCTAGATAGCATTTCATCTAACCTTTTTTCAAGGTTCTCAGCTTCCTTGCATTGGATTAGAACATGTTCCTTTAGCTCAGAGGAGTTTGTTATTACCCACCTTCTGAAGCCTGCTTCTGTCAATTTGTCAAACATTCCCTTGCTGGTGAGTTGTGATCCATTGGAGAAGAGGCATTCTGGTTTTTGGAGATCTCAGCCTTTTTGTGCTAGTTTCTTCCCATCTTCATGGATTTATCTACCTTTGGTCTTTGAATGCGATCTCTGAATGGATGTCCTTTATGTTGAAACTCCTTCTGTTTGTTAGTTTTCCTTCTAATAGGCCCTTCTGCTGGAGTTTGCTGGAGGTCCACTCCTGACCCTGCTTGCCTGGGAATCACCAGCAGAGGCCGCAGAACAGCAAAGATTGCTGCCTGTTCCCTCCTCTGGTAGCTTTGTCCCAGAAGGGTACCCGCCAGATGCCAGCCAGAGCTCTCTTGTATGAGGTATCTGTCAGCCCCTGCTGGGAGGTATCTCCTAGTCAGGATACAAGGGGAGGGGGTCGGGGGGTCAGGGAGCCACTTGAGAAGGCAGTCTGTCCCTTATCAGAGCTCAAGCACTGTGCTAGGAGATCTATTGCTCCCTTCAGAGCTGCAGGGCAGGGACATTTATGTCTGCTGAAGCTGAACTCACAGACTCCCCTTTTCCCAGGTACTCTGTTCCAGGAAGGTGGGGGCTTTATTTATAAGTTCCTGACAGGCTGCTGCCTTTTTTTCAGTTTTCAGAGATGCCCTGCCCAGGAAGATGGGAGTCTAGTGACACAGTCTGCCTGCAGTGGCCTTGGTGAGCTGCCATAGGCTCTACCCAGTCACTATGTAAACTTCCTGGCAACTTTGTTCACACAGGAGAGGTTAAAACCACCTGCCAGAGCCTCAGCAATGGCGAACACCCCTCCCCACACCAAGCTCAAATGTCCCAGGTTGAGCTCAGACTGCTGTGCTGGCTGTGAGAATTTCAAGCCAGTGGATCTTAGCTTGCTGGTGCTCGTGGCGGGTGGGACCCGCCAAGCCAGATCTCTTGGCTCCCTGGCTTCAGCCTCCTCTTTCAGGGGAATGAGCAATTCTGTCTCACTAGCATTCCAGGTGCCAATGAGGTATTAAAAAAAACAGCTAAAACAGCTGCCCAGTTCTGTGCTAGAAACCTGAGGCACTGGTGTGATAGGCACCAGAGGGACTCTGCTGGTCTGTGGGTTGTGAAGACCATAGGAGGAGCACAGTGGCTGAGCCAGAGTGCCAGAGTGTTGGGAGAAGTCTCTAATGGCTTCCCATGGCTGGGAGAGGGAGTTCTCCAGCCCTTTGCACTTCCTGGGTGAGGTGATGCTCCACCCTGCTTTGCCTTGCCCTCCTTGGTCTGCACCCACTATCTAACCAGCCCCAATGAAATGAACCAGGTACCTCAGTTGGAAATGTGGAGATCACCCACCTTCTGCATTGATCTCGCTGGGAACTGTGCACCAGAGCTATTCTTATTTGGCCATCTTGGCAGAAAATCAGGGCTTGTTTTCTTACAGGTAAATTATTCCCTATCTTATGAGAGTGTCAGAATTAAATAGTGTTTTCGGAAGAGTCCGGCAAGGTTTCCTGGCACTTGTAAGTTATCACACTTTTTACAGCCAGCTGTAAGGCTTCAGGGTGGACTCCTTCTCCTGATCCCAGCTGGCTTCCTGCACATTAACTTTAAATCAGATATTTATTTTTCCCTCAAGAACTTAGCTTTTTCTCTCTTCCTAAGGAACAGCACAGGCTTCTTCCCTTCATTTCCAAGGGAGGTGGCAGTTACATTGGAAACAAGGTGCTGGTGGGCACCTCGGCCTGTCTGTTCTGCTAAAGCCTCTCTTGGATCTGGGGAAGGACATGCCAGGGGTGGCACTTGCATTTGGCAACGAGAGACTGCCATAGATAATTTGTGCTGTCCTCCTCCAGAAGGAGGAAGGGAGCTTGTTGAGAAGATAACTTGTTCTCATAAGGCTTAAAGAAAACGGCCTTCTGCACCAACGAAAAGCTATGTTTGACCACATAGAACTGTACCACAGGAGGTTAGATAATAGTGTCATTTTCTATCGTATCCCACAAACAGGCACTGTGTTACATTTTACATATAATCCTTACAATTACCCTGAGAGAGATGACTTGTATTACACCTGAGGAAACTGAGCATTATAAATATTAAGTCATCTTTCCAAAGTCACACAGCTTGAGGCCTGCCCAAAGTAAAATCTAAGCTTGTCTGGCTTAAGTCCCCATTCTTTTTTTTTTTTTTTTTTTTTTTTTTTGAGACGGAGTTTCGCTCTTGTTACCCAGGCTGGAGTGCAATGGCGCGATCTCGGCTCACCGCAACCTCCGCCTCCTGGGTTCAGGCAATTCTCCTGCCTCAGCCTCCTGAGTAGCTGGGATTACAGTCACGTGCCACCATGCCCAGCTAATTTTTTGTATTTTTAGTAGAGACGGGGTTTCACCATGTTGACCATGATGGTCTCGATCTCTTGAGCTCCTGATCCACCCGCCTCGGCCTCCCAAAGTGCTGGGATTACAGGCGTGAGCCACCGCACCCGGCCTTAAGTCCCCATTCTTAACCCAAATATGCCTGACAAGAAGAATGATCTGGAATGGTTGTTAAAAATAGATTATGTGGGCTACACCCCAGACCAGCTGAATCAGGGTCTCCACAGAAGAGACTGGGTGGGGGATCTGATTTTTTTTTTTAACAAGTGCCCCAGGTGACTGCTACTGAGAAAGACCTCCCAAACAAATACCCCTGGCCTTTGACAATCATGGGAGGTGCTTAAGGCACACCAATCAAGGCCCCGGCCCCAAGCCATGCACTGTGGGTTCTTTCCCAAGTTCTGTCTTTGATAAAACACTTAGCCCTGTGTAGTTCAGTTTTCTGAGCTATAAAGTGGAGGTGCATCATAATATCTGCTCACAAGTCTCACAGGAGTGCTGTGAGAATTCAGTGAGAACGCTGGTGAAGGTGCTTTGCAGAGTGCTGAGAGAAAACGGACTTCTCAAAGCTATTGCAGACCTTCACATAATCTGTCTCACAGGCTTTTGTCGGTTGACCTGGGAATCTAACCATCCTTCTCATATGGTGTTTATGGGAAATGCATTCAGATTTCAAAATAATTCACCAAAAAGAATTTCAGAATACAATTCAATTTCCAGGACTGCCTCTAGTTAAAGTTTTGTATTACAGGCCCAAGAATAGCGAACGTATCCGATGAAGTCTTTTCCATGAGAATAGTAAAGGAACAGTTGATTTGACTTCTTGGTCTATTTGGTGTTGCTTTTAAATGAATCCTAATATTGTTAGATGAAAAGTATAGACTCTAAAATGATATCTCTACAGTCATTATCCCATTTGCTGAGGCTTAAAGAGACTCACTGTCTTTGCAAGGACCATTTAACTTGTAACAATGGTAGGTACAGGATTCAAACAATATCAGACCTAAATTCTGGGGATGTTCAAACAGTCTCAGACCCCAAAATGGCCACACTGCTATAGAAAATCCACATCCCGCACATGGATTGGCATGTTAACCCACGAGAACAGAAGCCACCACTGTGTTAGAGCAGAGGGATTGCAGCTGATCGGTGAAGATAAAAGGAACTATTGGTATAAAAACTGGGAAAAGAAAAAAGTTGCATTAAGAAATATACCTGGATTTTATGACTGCATATCAAGACTTGTTTTGTTGTAGGTTTTGGAGTTTAGATTCCATTCCTAAACTTTCATGGTCTCTGGTCCGTGAGAAAGAAATTTGGGTGGCAAGAAATCCAACCAAGTGTCCTCTGCTCCTGGCAGCGTTAAAGAAAATTGCTGTCCTTCAAACATGATGAAGAAGACATTAGTAGCTTTCCAGGGGTGGTGATGGATTTATTCTGAGCCCTCTTAAATTCCCTCCCCATCTCCTTTATATCAAGGAAGGCTGTTCAGGCGTGTTGCTTGCCAGTAAGGTAGCCATCCATATGAAGGGTGAACTTGGCACTTCCCGCCCACCCCGCCAGCTGCTCGGGAGATGGGATCATCACATTCAGTACTTCTGAACGGTCATTCTGAAAGGACAGCCCCTGACAGCCCCGTAGAAAACTAAATGCTGTTTATATCACTGGAAAAGCTCATCCTTCCCCAATCCATTCCTCCTTTAAGACGAGTTCCTTTCCCCAAAGTGACTTTTCTTCCTTTCTAACAGATATCTGCAAATGAAATAGAAATGCTTTTGATGAGGCTGCCACGCATGTTCAAACAGGAATTCACAGGCGTGGGAGCCACGCTGGAAAAAAGATGGAAATTGTGTGCCTTTGAAGGAATTAAAACTACCTAACTGTGAAGAGCAAAACATCTCTGGAAATGAACCCATGTGAACTTGGCCAGGGCTGTGCAACGGGGGAGCAGGACGTGTGGGATTGGTCCAGCACGCAACCTTTGTGGAGACATGGAAGCCTGCCTTTAGTTATATCTGTGGCGTTCTCTTGTGAGTGGAAATGTAATTGTGTACCAGTTCCTTAAAATAAACAAAGCTTCATACTGTGACAGATTTGTTACCTATGAAAACCAAACAATGATTCCACAGTCATAATGATGGCAAAATCTTACAATATGCTACATTTGAGAATATCTCACCAAGCAGAATATTTAAAGTTAATGATGGTGTAGCGATGATTGTTGCTAGGCTGCAGACTTGTATATGTGATGTATAGCTGAAACCATTAGATGACATTTTCCTGAAAGTCTTTCTGTTTTAGTTAAAAAAAAAAAAAAGAGAAAAAAATAATTTTACAGTAAGGGAAAATCGCACCAAAAGAAAACTTGAATATGTGTCTAAACAGTTATTGTATTTTGTAAATTAAGTTATATGCTGTTCCAGGGACTTTTGCCTTATTGAAGAGGCAGAAAATATGACTGGACACATTGAGAATGCTTTATCAAGAATATTATTTTTCTAATGTAACAATTCTCCATCATAAGTTCTTTTAACATGGACTGCATAACAGTTTTCATAAAGTGTAAATAAAGGAAAAACTAGTGTTATTGTCTTGTACTTGGTATGTAACAGTCAGGTTTATGCATCAAATAAACATTCAGTAAATACTCCTGTTACAAATTTTATAGCAAAGATATTAAATTTTTTTCAATAAATATGACTTCTACCATATTGGTTTTACAAATTATTCTTTGACATATTTTATTTGTCCCTAAGAAAACTTTTTCTCATTATTTGGCCCCATGTCATATCCTACCATTTAAAAATGACTGAATATGTAAGTGACATTAAGAGATAAAACATTATTTCAAATAGGAATATATAAAAATTGTGGAGTGGAAATCACCAAGAAAGGAGATGATACAGCATTAGTATACAGCATTAGAGCAGATTTGGTAAAATAGCAGGATATAGCATCCACAACTAAAAAACAAATTGTACCTTTGTTTTGTGTTCTCCTGGGCAGTTACAATGTGGTCCATTGATCTCATCAACTTGGATTTATGCATTTGCATGTTTCCTGGAAAACACATTAGAAAAGAAACCCAGGGCCCCACACTGGGCCAGCAGTTTAGCTAGAACTTCGGTTTCCCCTCTTTATTTTAATAACAAATGGGATATGACTTTTTGTACCCTCCCTGCTATCCTACATAAAAGTCACAAAAAAGACAAATATTCTTAATTGTAATTGGAACATTTTTAAGGAAGACAGCTAAACAGTTCATGTTCTCTGATATTATAAAAAGATACTCATAATTTCCTATTGGAATAATCCGTTATTGATAAGTACCTTTACTGATCTCTGATAAACTAAGGTGCTTACTCATACCTCCCATAAATATCTACACATGGGTTTTGTTCAGGCTCAGGGTTAACGCTAATGAATATAAAGGTGAGAAAGAAAAGACCCTCTCCTTAATGTGCTCAGAGTTCAGTGTGAAGAAGACATTTTCAGCCAGGCGCTGTGGCTCATGCCTGTAATCCCAGCACTTTGGGAGGCTGAGGCGGGTAGATCACTTGAGGTCAGGAGTTTGAGACCAGCTTGTCCAACATGGTAAAACCCTATTTCTATTCAAAATACAAAAAAGAAGTAGATGGGCCTGGTAGCAGGTGCCTGTAGTCCCAGCAACTCAGGAGGCTGAGGCAGGAGAATCACTTGAACCTGGGAGGTGGAGGCTGCAGTGAGCCAAGATGGTGCCACTGCACTCCAGCCTGCATGACAGAGCCAAGAATCCATCTCAAAAAATAAGTAAAAAGAAAAAGACATTTTCCCCAAAAGTTTATATGCGATGTGATTCTGGGAACAAGAAAGATATGACAGGTGCTATGGCATTCAAACTATATGCCCATATCATATTAAACCCTACACGCCTTCCCTTACCATCAGTCCATGCCTACAGCCACCATCATCCTAACATTTAGCTCCAAGTCAGGAGACACAAATAAAGACAATAGTCAGTAAGGAGAAGACATTACTTACAGACGCTGCTATTACCGTAAAATAGAAAACCTAAGCAGTTCACCTGAAACACCAGGCAAATAGAATTCAGTAAAGTGGCTAGTTATAAAGTCATGACGTCTAATAAACACACGGGGAGGTACCACAGTCTATGCTATTTCTAATGGAGAGCATGGTGGATATTTTCAAGCATGCATCGATAGCTTCCAGTATTACCAGCAGTCACTTAGCAGAAAGACATCCTGCACAGGGTAAACCCCTAACCCTGAGCTTTGTGCTCACACAAAGCTGAGGACCTCATACTAGATCTGACAAAAAGGTATTTCCAAACATATGGATCTGAGCTCTGTAGCACAACTTTGGGGAATGAAATGGTTAATTCAGCTTCTAAAAATATTAATGTCATTGCTGGAGATATGCTTCAGCACTAGAAAAATCTATTTTGGCTGTAATTTTTTCATTTATACTTGAATTCTATTACTTGTCTAGAAATATATTGATTATATATTTTAACTTCAATTATGTGAATAATTTGTTTTTGGATTTTTTTTTAATCCTCTAAATTATTTCACAGACTCAGTCAGGTTCAGATGGGACTTTAGAGCTCACCTGGGGAAGAACTAACATCGGTGCCTATGAGGGTGGTCTGGAGTCTATGTATATCTGTCACCTCATCTCCTTTAATCCTCCTGATAACCCTATATGAAGATAATATTATCGTCCCCATTTGTCACACAAGGAAAATGAGGCTCAGAAGTTTTAAGTAATTTGACCAACTTTGCAGTTAGTAAATTGTGAAGGGAGATTTGAGCCTAAGGCTAACTGGCCCCCAAACATATTCTTCTTTTCGCTGGTCATACTTCTATTAATAGTTCAGCCCATTCCACCCCACCTGTGAACACAACGCCATCCAGGGCCTTTGGGTCCCTTTTTATTCTCCACGATCTTATACATGGGTAACGAGGTCAACACTCTTCATACCTTTGTCTCCTTAGAATGAGCACAATACTGAAGGTTTGGAGATCCTCGTGATCTGGCCCTAAAGGCCCTTTCTAACTTGCTTTTCGTTGTTTCCCTGAATATGATTCATCTTTTTTCTTGCTTTTCTGCTTTCATTCACCTATTTGAATGAAACCACCTTCGTCACATCTAGTCATCACAGTTCTACACAACTTTAGGTGGGAAATCAGCCTTCGTGCCCCAGCAGAAGTCATTCCTCCTGCCTCTGCACAGTCATCCCACATTGACTGTTTTTGAAGGCACTTGCCACCCAGCTGTCCTTGCCCTATTATATTACAGGCTCTTTGATGGACCTGAACACATCTCATTTACTTTGAGTTATTTCTCAAAGTGGTTTTGCTTATAAATATTTAGAAAGTAGGACAGAAAGGGATCCAAGATGTTTCTCTACCTCCAGGAACCAATTTGGCTATACATACCCAAGGGGAAAATATTACAAAATATTTGAAAAGGCTGCAAATATCTTAGATCCAAGATTCCAAGGTGGGAAACGTGAGTGAGAATGCACTGCATATTATTGAGATAAAAAGCAACCCGATGCCTCCTGAAACTTCAGACCCAGATCAATTATCGACTCTTCCATGAGGCCCTGATTCCCTCAGGAGCTCTTCTCCTGGGCTCCCCCTACTATTCATTACGTTTCTATTGCAGCCCATTGACTCTATTTTAATCGTGTTTTAATGTGGCTCTTTCCACTGCTGCAGGCAGCAGACCTCCCTTACTTATCTCTCTAGTCCCTCAGAGTCTGACATGACATAGTATTACTTATAAATAAATATTTATCACATTAATGAAAGAAGGACTCACACAGGAACTTTCTGAAGTTGCTGAATCTGAATATATTCAGGTATCAGGTCCAGCAATAGAGGCTAGAACTTTATGTCTCTCCTTTGTAGTATCTTGGCAAAACCCTTATTTTTCAATTTTTTATTGTGGTAAAACACTTATCAATTTAGCCACAGTGTACAAGTCTATGACATTAAATGCATTCACAATATTATGCAACCAATCATCACTATTTATACCCAAAACGTTTATATTATCTCCAACAAAAATTACGTACTCACTAAACAGTAACTCTTCATCCTCTCACCCTTCTACCCTCGGGTGACTTCCAGGCCCTGCACCTCCACAGTGTGCCTATTCTAGGCCTCCCATGGAAGTGCAGTCATACCACATTTTCCCTCCGTGTCTGCTTTCTTTCACTCAGCATGGCATCTTGGAGGTTCATCCATACTGTAGCATGTATCAGAATTTCACTTATTTTTAAGCCTGAATAATAGGCTGAGCAAGAAAAACAAGTTGCTTTTTCTTGGTAAGGGTGGGGATGTTTTACTTTGAGGTTGGTTCTTGGGTTTTTTTTGGGGGGGGGCGGGGGATTGTAGCCCTTTTCATAAAATGGCTACTGTGTTTATTTATTGGACTCAATAAAAGGTGGTTTATCCCCAAAACATAAGACCTTTTCGACCATAATACTCAGTTGCTTCTCATAAACTGAGAACATAGAGACGTCGGGTCTCTAAAATCTTATAGCTTGATTATTTTTCCATCAAAATGGTAGAAGGTTCACCTGCAATCCCAGCACTTCGGGAGGCTGAGGCGGGCAGATCACTTGAGGTCAGCAGTTCGAGATCAGCCTGGCCAACATGGCATAACCCCACCTCTACTAAAAATACAAAAATTAGCCGGGTATAGTGGCCCATTTCTATAAATCCCAGCTACTCAGAAGGCAGGAGAATAGCTTGAACCTGGGAGGCGGAGGTTGCAGTGAGCCAAGATGGCACCACTACATACCAGCCTGGGTGGCAGAGTGACACCCCGTCTCAAAAAAAAAAAAGAAAGCAAAAGGAAAAACTGAATACTAGTCCATTGTATGAGAACTCTTCTTACTGGCTTATATATGTTTTACTTATTACAGTAAGAAAAAGTCATTAATCTGTGTTGGAAAATATTTAAATACCACATCAAAAACAAGATTTGAAAGTGTAGGGAAGCTTATTTTTAATTCGATAAACTGTTCATTTCCATTGATGATAAAAATGAAAGGTAAAAAGTAGAAAACATTGGTAGAAATTGTGTAGAAAATGAGACTGACTAAACAAATGTCCATGTGACAAACTCTGATACACAACAAGTTATTTTTTCTTGGGAAGGGTAGGGGATGTTTTACTTTGAGGTTCGTTCTTGGGTTTTTCTTGTGTGTGGGAGGAGGGGATTGTAGCCCTTTTCAGAAAATGGCTACTGTGTTTATTTACTGGACTCAATAAAAGGTGGTTTATCCCCAAAATATAAGACCTCTTTTACCATAATACTCAATTTCTTCTCATAAACTGAGAAAATAGAGACATCGGATCTCTAAAATCTTATAGCTTATTTTTCATCAAAATGGTAGAAAGTTCACATGTATATTAAATGAGACTGTCACAAGCAGCTGAAGGAACTGTCCTCCGTAGCGCACCACAGAGGAGCGTTTTAGACAAGCTACAGTGAGTGCGTTTATACAGCAGATCACTGCGAATACTGTCTCTCTAGTTCTGCCACCTCCAATTTCCTCCTCTACCTGCGAGTGGACTCTTTCTTCATTCCCAGGCCTCAGATGTTTGAAATGGCTCATACCGTGCAGGTGAGCACTCAGGCAGTACTGCAGTCAAGCCCAGCCCCAACATTCACCGACCTTGTGGCCAGGGCACGT